GGGTGTTCAATTCTTTGACTAGAAGTCAACATTTTCCATGGCAAGCAGACAATTTTAGTGAAATATACCATTTAGTCAAAAAACAAATGTTCCACAAAAAACAGTTTCTACAGAAAGTTTTCGACCAGCCTGGCTCACTTTGAACATTTCTAAAACACAGGTTTTGACATATCTATGTGCTACAGTCCCCTGTTGCCAGGGTTTTAGATTATAAACTAATCTGAATGAATCAGTCAGGCTTAGATTGAAGGAAACCCTAACACAGAATGTTACTGCTCCCTCTCGCCTCTCTTCCCCTTGTCATTCTTTTTTAAAACATAATATGTATTTATTTATTTATTTATATTTAGACAGCCACAGAAGTGATACTGGGAAAATACAGCGCCTTGCCAAAATCACATACATTTTAATGGCTTTCCTGTTCACTTAACCCCACATCAACAACGTATCCTCCCTTGCCTCTGGAGGGTGTGGAAGGCCAAGAGCTGGGTGGAACTGGCCTGGCTCCAGTGTGTGTTTAACAAAGGAAAACTTGGGAAATTTTTGAAAACACGAGGTGCCTGTTTCAAGACACTTGGGCCCCATCTACATGGCAACTTCTGATAGAGTTTGTAGTCAGTTAGTGACATGGTTGGCTGTAAACGTAATCTGTGCTCGCACACACCATGGTTAATACTCGGTTAGCAATTGGGCAGCTAACCGTTTCAACCATGCCAGTGTTCTAGGCTAGAGAACAGTTGTCTTCCTGTAACTACTTCTTTTGGCACGTAGAAGGGACTCCTTAATTGTACCTGTGCACTATGGGATATTCTGTACAACAACAGGCCACATTTTCCAGAATGCAGCAGTACTATCTAGATACTTATAAGCCCTTCATTACTGTGGTATCTGAATGCCTCACAGTCTTTAAAGGGTTTATTCTCATGTAAACGCTATTATCCTCCAATGGAGGGTCGGGGGGGGGGGGGCGGAGAGAATGGAGGCACAGGGCACAGAAAGACAAAGGGCAAGATTTTTCAATGTATTAAGGTTCCTAAAGATGCTGATAGATGCCTAGGCCCTCTTGAAAATCCCACTAGGTGCCTACCTGCATCTTTAGGCACCTAAATACAAATTCTGGACCTTAGTGACTTAGCAGATTGAACCTGGGACTTCCAAGCTCACACTAGGGCGAGATTTTTAAAGGTATTTACATGCTAAGGGAGATTTTCAAAAGGATCTAAGCTCCTAAAACTCATTGATTTCAATGGGTGTTAGGCACCTAGATATTTTTGAAAATCCCATGAGGCACCTTAATACCTTTAAAAATTGGTCCCCTAATTACTAGACCATCCTTCTTCCTAAATACAGGTAGTCAGTATGTTAATACGGACTTTGTTGATACATAGTTGTGTGGTGAATCAAGCTGTTGTGTGGATACAATTCTACCATCTTTGTGGTAACAAGGTCAGAGGAGAACGTCACAAACTAGTTCCAAGAGCGTAGTTTTAGGGTAGACAGAACCTTATGCTCTTTGATGCATCCTAAGCCCCTTGGTACCTTCAATGACATCCATAAGGGCACAGGGTCTGCCTGTACAAATATCATTGCAGGATTGGGGCCTGACGAGGCCCCTTAGTTTTGACTACAGTCATTGCAGGATTGGGGCCTACTATGAGCCCCTTAGTTTTGACTACAGTAACTTCATGATGGATATTCCTGTTTTGATCATTTCCTTGAAAGAGACACTGGCTTATGTATTAGGCTATCCACTAACTAAAGTAATGGCAAGTGCTATAAAGTATATAGAAAAAGCTATTGCACTTACCCTTATTTTTACTTACTTATTTTACTACAATATCTTGTGATTTTCCAGAACACTACAGCTTAAAAAATGATACTACACTGTTATGAGCAACGTCTATAGTACTATTTTTATAAGGAAGCTCATGTTCTGTATGATACATATATCAATGACATAGTAGTATTGTGTACTGTTGCATTTTTAAATACTTAAGTTTTTTGTTTTGTGTATACCCAACCAAAATATATTCTTACAGATAGAATTGTGGGTATTTCAGTGTTCATGTTCCCTGTAAACCAGGGGTCCCTATATGGTAGGCAGAAGAGGTGTTTCTCGATCTAAATAGGCCTGGCTAATTTAACTCTGCCAGTAATATAGCTAAGTCATGCATTGAGATTTTTTTGTGAACAGGTAATAAAATGCATGGGCATTTTTCCACATCACATTTTCAGACTTACTTTCATATAATCTGAATTCCCTACATGTTCTTTCTGATAGATAATGCCCCAAAGTTGAGTTTGGGTCTTTTTTTAGTCAGATATCCTTGAGATTAGTTTATGAATGAATTCTTTTCTAAATTGCAATGTGCCAATAAAGCTTACAACCAGGAAACACTGAAAAAAGGATCCTCCACCCTATTTAGCAGAATAAAATAAGCAATTCCACTTAATACATACACACTAGCTCGACCATTGGATCCCATGACTCCAAATTTGGGAGGAAAAAAGGTGCTATTAGACATCACATTTTTTTTTAATTTACGAAATATTTTAAATGAAAACCTGAGGGGACAAACATTTTTGTTGCCATAGTTTTGATTAGCCACAATCTCCTGTTAGACTGCATTAAGAAAGTGATAGAGAATAATACTGAAAATACTGTAATGCTGTTATGTAAAAAAAAATTGATGGCACACTCTTACCTTGAACAGTTTCAGTTCTGGTTGCCTCATTAAAAAAAAAAAAAGGTATAGCAGAAACAGAACAGTTACCACGAAGGGCAGAGTTCAGATGAATGCAATGACTTCCATTTGAGGCCAGATTTTTAAAAAGTAGGACAAAATTAAGGGAGGATATGAATAAGAGGTGACATGACAGAAGTATATAAAATAATGAACAGTCTACAGAAGGTAAATCAGGAGTTCCTATTTACCTTATTACATAATACAGGAACCCAATACAGTTAAGCACTACATTTTTTACACAACATGTAATTAACCCGTGGAATCCACTGTCAAAAGATATTATCTTAATATCTGATACAAAATAACACTGGACATCTACAAAATAATGTCATCTTCATTAATACTAGCTAGGATAAAAAAATGCCAGTGACCAACTGCTATGGGTTAGGAAATTCCTTTCTCCATAGCTGTAGTTACAGCAAAATTGTCCATTTGGGGGGTTTACATCTTCCTCTGAAACCTCTGATATGGGCCACTGTGGGGCACAGGATACCTGACTAGATGGACTATGGGCCAATCCAGTAAGGCAATTCCTATGTTCCTGTGGCATATTCCTATTATTTATGCAATAATGCGCTAACAAAAAGAGATAGTTAAATCTTACATACCTGATAACTAAGCCCAAGCTACACAGCAATAAGCTTTATTGAAACTGTACTGTAAATACAAATGGAGCAATTAGCTAAGTGCAGGCAGTTTTATATGGGAAACAAACAGTTGGTACCATGGGCTACAAAACTCGGAATTTAAACATTTGGCGTCCTTTTATTTACAAAATGCATCAGTCACAAATAAAAGTTGCCTTTTTGAAAGCTTCGTTTTGGCAATTAGCACACATGGAATAACAGTCACAAATGATAAATGTCATACCTTTGTCACCAGAAGTTGAAGAAATCTGCAGGGTTCCTGTTTGGATAAGTTCCACCCCCTGTGATTCAGATCAAAAAATCTTTGAAAAAGGTTTTGATTTTGGCAGCTGCTGTCAAGATAAAACTTTCTTTCAACTGCAGCCATCCCAATTCAGGGAAGGCTTACCTTCTTCTGCTCAGAGGTCTTGGCATCCATTTTCCTCCAATTTTCTCTTTTACACTGAGCAAGTAAAGCAAAAGTTTGTGATGAATATTTTCATTGCGGCGAGCAAGTTTTCTTTCTTGATACCATGTTATTATTTAGTACCTGATAACACATTAATGAAATGTCGCCTTTTCCCACAAATGCTGAGGAGATAAACAACATTCACCTTTTGTCAAATGCATTTTTTATGTTGAATGTGTTCTTTAGTGCTCACAAGGAGCATCAGATTGGCAGCCCTGAGGAATGGCGGCCTCCAACTAGCCACAGAACAGGTAGGTCAGGGCAGTTCCCAAAGCAAGCTCCTGCATGTTGTCCCATCAATCTGCTTCACACATGAGGTGAACACATGCGGTAGCCTATTCTCTATGCCCATGCACTCTCTGGCCTCTAGCAGACTGACAATGTGCCAGTTAGTGCCCATTGTGGTGGCAATAACTATGATTTACACCAAGGAGATCAGAATGTGCTCTTCTGATGCATGGCCTTTTTCATGCTAGCATTAAAACCATAGCTCTCTATTCACTCCAAGGCTGCTGACTATACCAAACAGCCTGTGGAGGAAGGCTGCACCTGTGCAAGGCTTCAGTAGGCTCCGCTCCGCTGGGATTCAGGCTTGTGCAGGATGAACGAAATATCTCTGCTGGAATTTACAAAGGAGCTGAAGGAAGTTAGGTGCTCAGCTTCCATTTCCCATTGAAGTTTAGTGAGATTTGGGCACCTAGCTCTCTTCAGCGCCTTTGAAAAGTCCTGCCTAACTCATCATAATTCCGTATCACCTGCAAAGAAAACATGTTAAAGGAAACAATTACCCACCACTTCAAGTTTAATTCTCTACTATTTTTCTTGTGTCTTCAGTTTGGAACAGTTGAGCCTTAACATGCTGAAGTGCTAAGCGTTCTTGCTGGAGTATATGTAAAAAGAACACCTTATAATTTAAGTGCAAACTTTACTTGTCTAGCCTTAAGGACCTAAAATATGCCTAGGAAATAAAAGACAGTGCCTATACGCTCATTAAAACACATTCAGCCCAGGGCAAGGATTTGATCAAAAGGATTCCTGCCAACGGAAGGGCATGCTGGAACCAGTGTAAGAAGTTGTGTATGTGTGAGTGTGTATGTGTTTCTTTTCTTTTGTGTGCCCTGTCCCTTCCCCTATCACCTCCAATCACTTTTCTTCCAGCTGGGGGGAACAGAAGAGATCTTACTTCCTTGATGACAAGCCTGGCCTTTGAGCAGCTAAAGCAAAAGGTACTTTAAGTTCAAATGAGACTGTGACTTAAACCAATAATACCTGAGACCAACATATGTTTATTGAAATGTAAGTATCCTTCATTCCGATCAGCAGGCTTTATTCACCCCACTGCGATTTCAATCATTGCCCTTTTATTTGTCCAGAGTGAATAAGTGAATGGGCTGCACATTTTTATTCACAGCAGTAGGTTTAGGACTTCAAATCAGAGAAGTGTTTTGATTTTAGAAATAAACTCCAGAGGAAACAGTTTGAACCAGAACTTTCATATTTTTTTACCAGTTTAAGGTAACATCAAAACTCATCTTTCCCAAAACCCAAAACCCAACAGCATTCTTTTAATCCAAATTAAATCAAGTGTTGTCTCTTTTTCTTCTTCCTTCCAATTTAGAGGAAAATAAAACTATTCTTGTTTGAATGGTTTTGTTTGCAGATCCTAAATGCCCTGCTACTGCAAATTTTCAAATGATCTCATACAGCCCAAAGTCTCTTTGGTGTCAGCAGCTGCTCAGGTACCGACACAACCATAAGAATGCTGCTGATCAGAACAATGACTGCCTGGCCTACAGATGTCATATTGAGGTAGAAATCTTGATGCTCATTGGAGTGACATTACAAAGTACATTGCACACACACTGTATCTGGGTCAGAGGAGAAGTTATTTCACAAAGTTAGCAAAGCATTTCTGGGCAAACTGACTTTTTGGGTTCAGGAAACATTTGAGTCTATTATTTTGTTGACAACTTTACAATGATTAATAATAAAAGGTGATATAGAAGTACAAAGAATCTTTTTATCTGAGAATGTGTTAGAGGAAGGATGATCCAGTGATTAGGGTCCTCGCCTAGGAATTAGGAGAGTGGGTTCATTTCTCTGCTCTGCCACAGACTTCCTGTGTGACCTTGGGCAAGTCACTGAGTTTCTCTGTGCCTCAGTTCCCCCATCTGTAAAATGGGGATAATTGCACTGCTGCCCTGCCTCATAGGGTGTTGTAATGGTAAATATATTAGAGATTGTGAGGTGCTTAGACACTATGGTAATAGGAGCCACATAAATATCTAAGCACACAGGATAGATAGGCAATTTGGGTAGGAGATGTGGAGCTGCTAATTGGCAAAGAGAGACACCCAAGTACAACCCAAAGGACATCACCTCTGAACGTCATTTCCAGAATCTAGCAGGGAAGACAAGAGACAAAAGAAAGACAAATTATCTCTATGCACCAGGAGAAGGGGTCAAAACTAATAATTTAGAAGACTTGACAATTCAAGGTAAGCAACAAGGCCATTGGCTCACAGCATTGTGAGAAGGTGATTCTGTCAGGAAAGCATTGGGGCTATCAACACGACAAGTACTGAAGGAATACCACTGGGAAATGATGAGGCCAATGACCCACAGGGGTGGCGTCAAAATCTTTGATGGATATGACCAGTGGCAGCCAAAAAGCCCTCCTGGTTTCAAAGAGGCACTGAGAACTCAAAGACTGTTCCAGCAATGTTGCTAAAAGTGTACAGGGAAACCAGTGTTGCAAGGAGACACTCCAGAACACTTTTTAACAGGCCAAGTCATTCGAGGGATACAGAATTGCCGTCCAAACCAAACCTAAAATCTGCAAAGCTGGTAGAGGCTGGAACAGGCCTGAATAATTCCAGCAGTGAGCTCCCTTGCTGAGAGCAGTCAGAAAGAATCTGGAACCACATGTTTTAGAGGGGAGAGCTGAGGCACTGGCAATCAGTCTAAGTTGGAGGCTGGCCTGCCTGTGCATCAAAGGACCCCCATTTTTTGAGTGCTAGAGAAGTTATAGCCTCTCTTGAACAGAGAAGCTAAGAGCCAAGAATAGAGCTTTAGTCCACATGGAGCCTTTAGAGAATAACACATACCTTCTTTTGTAAAGTCCTTTGAGATCTTCAGATGAAAAGTGCTAATTAATATAACTAATTAATAATAATAAAAAATGAAAGTTACATCCAAGAAATCAAAGGCATAACATTTCCATCATCAGGTGTGGACTCTGGGATGAATTTAATTCAGGGTACTAGCAACTCAATTCATGGCCCCAGACAATTTATTTTTGTTATATTATTTTGAAAGGTGGGTCATACTTTTGCACATGGATGTAGAAATTGTGGAATCTAAAGATCTCTGCTTAGAAGAAGCTACCATGGAAGGAAAGCTTAATTCAAATGCTGCAGCAGTTCCTTTCATGAAGATGTGTAAAGGACAATCAACTCACAGAGCCTTACTCCAGAGGCCGAAAACTGACAACCATCTAAAATTATCCTGGAACCAACACAGCTACAATAACACTGCAAGCAACCATCTAAAATAGCAGTTCCACCAAATCATATGACACAAATGAGTGTCTTTCTATTTGACTGGGTTTGTAACATGGACTTAAACACTGAATTTATACCATACATTCTGATGCAAAAGACCTGAACATTTTCTTTGCTATCTTGCCACCTTTTATATATTGTTAAACACCCAACCTCTCATATGTGAAGTAAAGGCTTAGTCTAGGGTGACCAGATGTCTCGATTTTATAGGGACAGTCCCGATTTTTGGGTCTTTTTCTTATATAGGCTCCTATTACCCCCCACCCTCTGTCCTGATTTTTCACATTTGCTGTCTGGTCACCCTAGCTTGGTCTTATTTTAGATATATGCAGCAAAGAGAGCAAATGAAATTACTTCACACAAGAGATGGGTAAAACCATGGTTTTGGTTTAAATGAGACCCCATCAATTGGGTTTTGGGTTTACAAAACCAAAACCTGAGGTGATTTCTGTTCAGGTCCAATTTGTTCCAACACTCCATAGTTTGGGGGCAGTTGAATAAACTATTCTAGGTTTGGCTCATCTATATAAGAGCTAATTCCCTAAAGCTGAGGAAAATCGTGAGCAAAACTGATCGGAAAGAAAAATATAGAAAGAAAAATGTGAATGAACATTGGAAATTCTTCAAGAAGAGTTTATTAGATGGCCAAAAAGCCAAAATTCCACAATCAAGAAAAAGGACAACTTTGGCAAATTGAAGGCAGCAATTCGAAATAAAGAAGCAATATATAACACGTGGAAATGGGGGTAAATAGATAGCAATCAATATAAATTAGAATGTATGAAGTACAGAAAATTGATAAAGGAATCTAAGTAGATCAGGGAAAAATCCCTGGCTGGCAGAGCAAAGGACAATAAGAATTTTTAAAAATATGTATGAAGTACAGAAAATTGATAAAGGAATCTAAGTAGATCAGGGAAAAATCCCTGGCTGGCAGAGCAAAGGACAAAAAGAAAAGAAATCCTAGGAATAACATAGGCCCATAACTACAAGGAGATGGTAAAACTGTTAAAAATGAGCAGAAAAGACAAAGGTGTTCAATAAATATTTCTATTCTGTATTTGAGAAGAGGCAGGACAATGTACCCATACCATGTGAGGATGATGAAGTACTTTCCAGTTTATTAGTAACTATGGACGATGTTAGACAACATCTACTAGAGATAAAGATTTTTAAATCAGCAGGCATGGATAACTTGAACTCAAGAGTCCTAAAAGAGTTGGTTCAGGAGATCTTGGGTCCACAGATGTTAATTTTTAATACATTTTTTGAATACGGGGGGTAATGTCAGAAGACGAGAAGATTGCTAATGTTGTGCCAATATTCTAAAAGGGCAAGTGGAATGACTTGGGTAACTATACCTTGGTTAGCCTAACATCAACCCCAGGCAAAATAATGGAAAATCTGATATGGGATTCAACTGATGAAGAAGTAAAAAATAGGAATATAATTCATGCCACTACACATGGTTTAATGGAAAATAGGCCCTGTCAAACATACTTGATTTCATTCTTTGATGAGGTTACAAGTTTGATTGATGAAGATAACTGCGCAGACGTAATAGCCATGGTAAGGCATTTGACTCAGTGGTGCATGACATTATGATTAAAAATTATCACTATACAATATCAATAGAGCTCACATTAACATGGATTAAGAACTGGCTAACTGACAGATCTCAAAATGTAGTTGGGAATCAGGAATTGTCACTGAATTGAGGTGTTTCTAGGGGCATTCTGCAGGGATCAGTAGTAGGCCTGATGTTATTCAATATTTATGTCCATGTTCTAGGAGCAAATATAAAATCACTCTTCATAAAATTTGCAGATGACACAAAGGTTGGTGGAGCAGTAAATAATGATGGGGACAGTCATACAGAGTGATCCGGATAGCTTGGTAAGGGGGCCGCATTTGAAAAAAACAAATTTAATACAGCCAAATGAAAAACTATAAATCTAGGAACAAGGCATGCAGGACATACCCACAGATTGGGGAACTGTATCCAAGAAAGAAGTGACTCTAAAAAGTAGTTAGGAGTCATAATGGACAAGCAACTCAACATCAGCTCCCAGTGGCTTATGCAATCCTTTAGTGCATGAATAGGGGAGGAGTAAATAAGAGGAGAGAGGTGATTTTACCTCTGTATATAGCATTGGTGAGACAGATGCTGTAATACTGCATCTGGTTTGGATCTTCCCAGTTTAAAAAGGATGTTGAAAAATTGGAGAGGATGCAGAAAAGAACTACAAAGATTATTTGTGGGCTGGAGAAAATACCTGGCAGTGTAAGACTTAAAGAGCTCAATCTGTTTCACTTATCAAAAAGAAGATAGAGGTATCGTGTATAAGTTCCTTTATGGGGAGAAAATACCAGGTTCTAAAGGGCCCTTTAATCTAGTGGAGAAAAGCATAACAAGAACCAGTAGTGGAAGATGAAGCCAGACAAAGTCAAAGTAGAAACTAGATACAAATCTCTTAACAGTGATGGAACAAACTACCAAAGGAAGTGATGGATTCTCCATCTCCTGATGTCTTCAAATCAAGACTGGCTGCCTTTCTTAAATATATTCTTTAGTCAAACACAAGTTATGGGCTGAATCCAGGGGTAACTGGGTGAAATGTAATGGTCTGTGACACCAGGAGGAGGTCAGACAAGATGATTTA